GACCTGTGCTTATAAAACAATATACATAATATTCCCCTAAATAAAAAAAAACAACTAGGTCACAGGGGAGAAATATTCAGTCTTCCTACTTCTGAATTTCTGAAAATGGAACATTTCTGCAGCATAAATTTCTAGGTGTGACAGAGGCAGGTCAGAGTATTGCCCTAGAGGACATCCCTGCAAAGTTTCAGTGCCTAAAACACTTTAAAACAGTTTCAGTGCCTAAAACATTTCCTTCCACTCCTAGGACCAAAAGTGTCTTCTTTAAAAACAGGCCCAGAGGGTCACCTGGGTGGCTTGATTGAGCTTCCAACTCTTGGTTTCAGCTCAGGTGGTAATCTCAGGGTTGTGAGATCTAGCCCTGTGTCAGGCTCTGCACTCAGTACAGAGTCAGCTTGAGATTCTCTCCCTCTGCCCCTCCCCCCACTTGTGCTCTCCATCTCTCTCTAAAATAAAGAAATAAAATTAAAAAAAAAAAGCAGGCCCATGATTAGGACTCTTCATTTTCTGTCCTACCTTCCAGCCAGTCAACTCAGCCAGCCACTTAGAGTGCAAACCCTTTCTCACCATGGATCAGGGACTCCCAGAGTCTAAATCACACCCAGCAGAGCTTCCATCAGGAGTTGCTGCCCAAGTTCCTACAGGTCAGCTATGTCTGGTTGATTCTAGTTGTCTTTCCCAGTCCCCCTGAGCACTGCTCTCCTACTGCCAGGTTAGAACCATTGGAGAAGTGAAATCCATTTTGCTTGATTCTTTTATTATTATTTTCATTTTAATTCCAGTATAGTTAACATGGAGTGTTAAATTAGTGTCAGGTGTACAATATAGTGATTCAGTGATTGTATACATTACTCAGTGCTCATCACAATAAGTATACTCTTTTTTAAATTTTTTTTTTAAATTTATTTACGATAGTCATACAGAGAGAGAGAGAGAGGCAGAGACACAGGCAGAGGGAGAAGCAGGCTCCATGCACCGGGAGCCTGACGTGGGATTCGATCCCGGGTCTCCAGGATTGCGCCCTGGGCCAAAGGCAGGCGCCAAACCACTGCGCCACCCAGGGATCCCAGTATACTCTTTTTTTAAAAAAAAGATTTTATTTATTTATTCAAGAGAGACACGCAGAGACATAGGCAGAGGGAGAAGCAGGCTCCCTGTAGAGGGAAGGGAAGGGAAGGCTCCCTTCCCTGTCGGGAGCCTGATGTGGGACTTGATCCAAGGACCCCAGGATCACACCCTGAGCCAAAGGCAAATGCCCAACCACTGACCCACCCAGGCGTCCCGCTTACTCTTTAATTCTCATCACCTATGTCATGCATCCTTCCACCTACCTCCTTTCTGGTAATAGTTTGTTCTCTATAGTTAAGAGTCTATTTCTTTGCTTGTCATTATCTCTTTTTTTCTTTGCTCATTTGTTTTGTGTCTTAAATTCCACATATGAGTGAAATCATATGACAGTTGTCTTTCTCTCACTGACATTTCATGTAGCATTATATTCTCTAGCTTTATCCGTGTTGTTGCAAATGGCAAGATTTCATTCTTTTTTATAGCTGAATAATATTTCATTGTATATATATATGTATACACCCATACCTATATACATATGTATATATATGTCCTGCTTTCTTTATTCATTCATCTTTTGATGGACACTTGGTCTGTCTCCATAATTTGGCTATTGTAAATAATGTTGCAGTAAACATAGGGGTGCATATATCCCTTTGAATTAGTATTCTTGGATTCTTTGAGTAAATATCCAGTGGTGTGATTGCTGGGTCATAGGGTAGTCCTATTTTTAACTTTTTGAGGAAACTCCATACTGCTTTCTATGGTGGCTACACCAGTTTGCATTTTTCCCACATCCTCACCAACACTTGCTGTTTCCTTTGTTTTTTATTTTGGTCATTCTGACTGGTGTGAAGTGACATCTCATTCTATTTTTGATTTCCATTTCCCCAATGTTGAGTGATGTTGAGCATCTTTTCACATGTCTACTGACCCATCTGTATGTCTTCTTTGGAAAAATGTCTATTCATGTCTTCTGCCCATTTTTAATTGGACTATCTGTTTTTTAGGTGTTAAGTTGTATCAGTTCTTTATATATCTTGTGCACTAACTTTTTATTAGACATGTCATTTGCAAATATCTTCTCCCATTCAAGAGATTGTCTTTTAGTGTTATTGCTTCCTTCACTATGCAGAGTTTTTATTGTGTTGTAGTCCCAATAGTTTATTTTTGCTTTTATTTCCCTTGCCTCAGGAGACTTACTTAGAAAAATGTTGCTACAGCCAATGTCAAATAAATTACTGCCTGTGCTTTTTTCTAGGATTTTTATGGTCCAAGGTCTCAGATGTATGTCTTTAATTAATTTTGAGTTTGTTTTGTGTATGGTGTAAGAAAGTGGTCCAGTTTCATTCTTTTGTATGTATGTTGCTGTCCGGTTAAATCCATTTGATCAAGTGCGTCATTGAAAGCCACTGTTGCCTTATTCATTTTCTGTTTTGATGATCTATTGATCCTCTACAGTTACTGTATCACTATCAATTATTTTCTTTATGTTTGTTATTAAATGTTTTGTGTATTTGGGTGTGTCCATGTTGGGTACATAAATATTTATAATTGTTATATCTTCATGTAGGATTTATTATTTGAGTCCTTTTTTGTCTCTTGTTACAGTCTTTGCTTTAATGTCTCTTTTGTTTGAAATAAGTATTGCTACCCCAGCTTTCTTTTGACAACCACTTGCTTAATAAATGTTTCTTTATCACTTCACCTTCCAGTCGCAGGTGCCTTTAGCTCTAAAATGAGTCTCTTGTAGGCAGCATATAGTTGTGTCTTACTTTTTATCCACTCTGTTACCCTATGTTTTTTGATTGGAGTATTTAGTCCATTTACATTCAAAGTAATTATTGATAGATACATATTAATTGCTGTTTTGTTACTTGTTTCATGATTATTTTTGTGGTTTTTCTCTGATCCTTTCTTTTCTTGCTCTTTCATGATTTGTTCACTTTCTTTAGTGATATATTTAAATTCCTTTTTCTTTATTCTTTGCATATCTATTATTGGTTTTTAATTGGCTACCTTAGGTTTGTATACATCTTCTGCATAGAGCAGTCTATATGAAGTGATACTCGCTTAAGTTTGTGCCCATTCTTTACTCCTCGTCTCTCCATGTCTTAGGTATATGATGTCATATTTTACATCCTTTTATTTCGTTAGCCCCTTGACTGTTTTTTCAGATAACTAATTTTTTACTGCTTTTGTATTTCCTACCTTTCATACTCTCACTATGGTCTTTCCTTTCTACTCAAAGAGTTCCCTCTACTATTTCTTGTAGGGCTTGCTTAGTGGTTAGGAACTCCTTTAGTTTTTGTTTTTCCGAGAAACTCTTTAATCTCTCCCTCTATTCTGAATGAAAGCCTTGCTAGGTTGAGTATTCTTGGCTGAAGATTTTTCCCTTTCAGCACTTTGAATATATCATGGCACTCCTTTCTGGCCTGCAAATCTTCTGTTGAAAAAATCTACTGATAGCCTTTAGAGTTTCCCTTGTATATGGTGATCTTCCTTTCTCTTTCTGCTTTTAATTTTTTTTCTTTATCGTGACTTTTTGCCATTTTAATTACTATGTCTTGGTGGGGAACTCCTTGCATTGATTTTGTTGGGGAATCTCTGTACCTCTTGAATCTGGATATCTGTTTCCTTCCCTAGATTAGGGAAGTTCTCAGCTATTATTTCTTTGAATAAATTTCCTGTCCCCTTTTCTCTCTCTTCTTCTGAGATCCCTATAATGCAGATATTATTATACTTGATGGAATCATTGAGTTCCCTAGTCTATTCTCATTTCAAATTTTCTTTTCTCTTATTTGCTCAGCTTCATTACTTTCCATTACTCTGTCTTCCTGGTTGTTAATTCATTCCACTGCCTTGTCTAGCCTGTTATTTATTCCATCAAGTGTATTTTTAATTTCAGTTATTGCATTCTTCATCTCTGATTGGTTCTTTTTTAATCTCTGAGTTAATGGTCTTAGGTCCTCCACTTTTAAGTCCAGTGAGTATTTTTATAATCATTACTTTAAATTCTCTACCAGGCGTATTACTTATATCCATTTTGCTTGGGTCTTTTGCTGTGATTTTGTCCTGTTCTTTCATTTGGGACATATTCCTCTATCTCTTCATTTTGCCTACCTCTCTATGTTTATTTCTGTGTTTTAGGAAGTTAGCTATGTCTCTGCTCTTGAAAGTAGTAGGCAGGGCATACACTTTTAACAAGGTGTCACTGGTCCTCCTCCACAGGGGAAGAGGCCACTCACAGCCCCTGTGGAAACTGGGGCAGCTGGAGCCACTCTGCCAAGTGCACACATACAGATGGGGGGTGCAGTTTTTTTCTAAAGATTTATTTATTCATTTGAGAGAGAGGGAGAGAGAGAGAGAGAGAGAGAGAGAGAGAGTGGGAGAAGGGGCAGAGGGAGAGAGAGAATCCTCAAGCAGATTCCCCTCTGGGCGTGGAGCCCAATGCAGGGGCCAATCCCATGAGCTGAAATCAAGAGTCACCACTTTAACTGACTGAGCCACCCAGGCACCCTATCAGAGGGTACATTTTTAACAAGGTGCTTGTATCCTCCATAGGAGGTTGGGAGGTGCAGTGTTGGAAAGGTTTGCATCAGTCTTCCTGGGGAGGGGACCCACAGCACCAGGACTGAGGCAGGCCCAGCTGGAGAGGACAGGGCACAGTGTAAGCAAGTTAGGCAGTGAATTGCCTGTGCAGGGCTGGTTCCCACAGGAGACTGTAAGATTATGCTGAGAAAAGGGGAAGGGAAATGATAGCTGCCAGCTTCTTTGTTCCTAGAGCGGTCTCTCAGTGAAGTCTGAGATTGGTAACTAACTCTCCCTCCTATATGCTCCAGGCATTTTGAAACTGCTGCCTCTGGCGTGGCTGTGGGGGCTTGGGCGGTGTCGCCCCATTTTCCCAGCGTGGGGGGATGGGGACTAGGGTTCGCTTCAGTTTCCCGAACGCGAGCGGAAGTGTGTGCTTGTGGCTGAGGCCTCTGCCGGAGCAGCCTCCCCGGCATCGCCGCGTTCTGGGGGCGGAGCCGCTGAGCACCGCTTCAAAAGGCGCGGGCAGCCGATTTGAGTCCGAGGAAGGATGGTCACCGAGGAAGGAAAACATTGGCGCGATGCACGCAGGCCGCCGCTGCTCTTCGTTGTCTTTCCGAGTTGGTTTTGTTTGTTTTTATATAACACAGCTGCAGTGACTCCACACCGAGTATCCTGCAACCCAGTTGGACCCTCATTTGGATCCTCTTCCTGCTGGCAATCCCCTGATGAAGATCGAAGTCGTTGAAGTCCTCACACTGAACCAAGAGGTAGCCCGTCCCCGAAACGCCCAGATACGGGCCCTCTATGCTGAAGATGAGGGCCTGAGCCTAGATGTGCCTGGGGAGCCCACTCAGCAGCTAGGCAAGCATCCAGGTGACCCTGAGGCTGCACGCCAGAGGTTCCGGGGCTTTTCCTTCGAGAAGGTGGCAGGGCCCAGAGAGGCCCTAGCCCGGCTGCGGGAGCTGTGCCGCCAGTGGTTGCAGCCAGAGGCGCACTCCAAGGAACAGATGCTGGAGCTCCTGGTGCTAGAGCAGTTCCTAGGCGCACTGCCCAGGAAGCTCCGGATGTGGGTGGAGTCGCAGCACCCAGTGGACTGCCAGGAGACAGTGGCCCTGGTGGAGGATGTAACCTGGATATCTGAGGAGGAAGCATCACCCTCCCAGGGCCCCACCAGCTCTCTCCAGACCACAACTCCTCAGGAAGAGAAGGAAGAGAACATGACCACCTGGCCAGTGAAGGCACTGCCTGAGGAACCAGTGACCTTCCTGGATGTGGCTGTGGACTTCAGCAAGGAAGAATGGGGGCTACTGGACCCCATGCAGAGAACTGAGTACCATGACGTGATGCTGGAAACCTTTGGACACCTGGTCTCCGTGGGGTGGGAGACTACACTGGAAAGTAAAGAGTTAACTCCAAAGTCTGATGTTCCTGAGAAGGAACCAGCCCATGACCTGAAATTGGAAAAATTCTCAAGGAATGACACCAGGTCCCCTACCTCAAGAGATGTCTTACAGGGTGAGGCCCCGGAAGTCTTGGACACAGCACAGAGGCAGGTGGGGCCAACTCAGGAAGAAACCCTCCCTCAGAAAAGTCCCCAATCCCAGGCAAACACTGGCCTTGTCACAAGCCATATTTCACTCCAGAAAACTCTCCCTAGGAAACGCTTGCGCAAGCGTGGCTCACGGGTTAAGAAGGTGACACGTGGTCCATGTGTAAAAATTCATCAGAAGGGCCACAAAGGAGAAAAAGCCAGGGAAAATACTAGTTGTGGGAGAGCCTTCAGCCGGAGCACTCAGCAGATTACATTCACAAGAATCCACAAAGGGAGCCAAGTTTGCCGATGCAGTGAGTGTGGCAAAACTTTCCGGAACCCAAGATACTTCTCTGTACATAAAAAAATCCACACAGGAGAGAAGCCTTACGTGTGTCAGGACTGTGGGAAAGCATTTGTTCAGAGCTCCTCCCTCACACAGCATCAGAGAGTACACACTGGAGAGAGACCATTTGAGTGTCATGAGTGCGGGCGGACCTTCAATGACCGCTCGGCCATCTCCCAGCACCTGCGGACTCACACTGGAGCCAAGCCCTACCAGTGTCAGGACTGCGGGAAAGCCTTCCGCCAGAGTTCCCATCTTATTAGGCACCAGAGAACGCACACTGGGGAGCGCCCCTACATGTGCAACAAATGTGGAAAGGCCTTCACGCAGAGCTCCCACCTCATTGGGCATCAGAAGACACACGGTGGGGTGAAATACAAGAAGAAACAACCTACCTCATAGCCCTCCAGCTGAGCCGGTTGAAGAACATTGCCTTTTCAGCCTTATCCTGCAAACTGCAAAGTAACCTGAATGGGCCTGGTTGGCATTCAGAACTGAATGTGAAAAGCAGCATTGAGTGATGATGTTCTGAAGACCAAAGGACAACCAGGGATAACACCCTGCACATGAGGAAATAAAACTGCTGGGGGGTTGTTGCTAATGAACATAAGTTGGAAAAATATTTAATTTTTCACTCACTTAATTTGCTTTTATAATTTGCTCATTTGGTCATTAAAAATGATACTAGTGAAACCTGAAAAATGCTTTTAATATAAATTTAAAAAGCCAGGTACCAAAAAGTCTGTGCACTGATATATTTGTGGTAAAGTATTTATGCATATGGTCAAGGACTAAGAAAGAACAAGGATAAATAAACTATATTTCTGTGATAGAAAAAAAAAAAAAAAAGAAACTGCTGCCTCTAACTCTATCTCTGAAGGCTTTTTGTGACACTGTCTCTTTAAGGACACTCTGGGCTCTCCCAGAGCCAAGCCTGTTGATTTTTAAAGTACCAGACTTTAAGTCCCATGGGTTATTAAGAACTCCTGAAATTTGGCCCCCCTGATTTCTAAAGCCAAATACTATGGGGATTTGTCTTCCCCGTGTAGCCTCCTGGTGTGATAGTCAGATTTTCACGGCTCTCCACACCTGTGGCTCCCTCCCTCCAGTGGCCAGATCCACAGGGTTTAGTTCCCTACTACATCTCTGCCCTTCCTACCTTCTTCAGTTGGCCTCTTCTCTACTTTTAGTTGTGGAGTTTTTACAGTTTCTGTCAGTCTTCATTTTTCTAGGTTATTTGCACTGATGTGAGTGTTATGGAATTATATCTATGGGACAAGGTGAATTTAGGGTCCTCCTATTCTGCCATCTTCCCTGGAAGTTCATTTTGTTTAGTTCTTGTATCCACTCCTTACTCCCAAAAGAAAATTACTTTTCTTCCAACCACTAAATGACTGACTCAGTGACTCTCTCAGAGTTTGCTAACCAACTGCAATTCTTAATTCTCTTCTTCTGCTGGATGTAGGATCTATTTGCTGTTTTGCTATTTGCCGTTTTTTCTCCAGCTCCTTTAGGTGCAAGATTAGCTTTTGTATTTGGGTTCTTTCCAGTTTTTGGATGGATGCTTGTATTGCGATGTATTTCCCCCTCAGGACTGCTTTTGCTGTATCCCAAAGATTGTGAATGGTTGTATCTTCATTTTCATTAGTTTCCATGAATCCTTTTAATTCTTCCCTAATTTCCTGGTTGACCCTTTCATCTTTTAGCAGGATGGTCCTTAACCTCCACGTGTTTGAAATCCTTCCAAAATTCTTCTTGTGATTTAATTCTAGTTTCAAAGCATTATGGTCTGAAAATATGCAGGGGACAATCCCAATCTTTTGGTATCAGTTTAGATCTGATTTGTGACCCAGTATGTGGTCTATTCTGGAGAAAGTTCCATGTGCACTTGAGAAGAATGTGCATTCAGTTGCATTTGGATGTAAAGTTCTGTAAATATCTGTGAAATCCATCTGGTCCAGTGTATAATTTAAAGCTCTTGTTCCTTTGGAGATGTTGTGCTTAGAAAACCTGTCAATTGTAGAAAGAGCTACATTCAAGTCACCAAGTATAAGTGTATTATTATCTAAGTATGACTTAACTTTGGTTATTAATTGATTGATATACTTGGCAGCTCCCACATTCGGGGCATAAATATTCATGATTGTTAGGTCCTCTTGTTGGATAGATCCTTTAGTATGATATAGTGTCCCTCTTCATCTCTTACTAGTCTTTGGGATAAACTTTAATTTATCTGATATGAGGATTACTACCCCTGCTTTCTTTTGAGGACCATTTGAATGGTAAATGGTTCTCCAACCTTTTATTTTCAGGCTGTAGGTGTCCTTACGTCTAAAATGAGTCTCTTGTAGACAGCAAATAGATGGGTCCTGCTTTTTTATCCAGTCTGAAACCCTGCGCCTTTTGATGGGGTCATTAAGCCCATTCACGTTTAGAGTTACTATTGAGAGATATGAGTTTAGTGTCATCATGATACCTATTCAGTCCCTGTTTTTGTGGATTGTTTCTTTGGACTTCCTCTTTCTTTTACAGAGTTCCCCTTAATATTTCTTGCAGAGCCGGCTTGGTGGTCACATATTCTTTCAGTTCCTGCCTATCTTGGAAGCTCTTTATCTCTCCTATTCTGAATGAGAGCCTTGCTGGATAAAGTATTCTTGGCTGCAGGTTCTTCTCATTTAGGACCCTGAATATATCCTGCCAGCCTTTTCTGGCCTGCCAGGTCTCTGTGGAGAGGTCTGCTGTTATCCTAATGCTTCTCCCCATAAAAGTTAGAGATTTCTTGTCTCTTGCTGCTTTAAGGATTTTCTCTTTATCTTTGGAATTTGCAAGTTTCACTATTAAATGTCAAGGTGTTGAGCGGTTTTGGCCAAGTGGCCAAAAACAAGATGTACTGGAAAAAAGGAGAAAAAGAGAGAAAAAGAAAAGAAAAAAAGGGGGGGGGACAAACAGAAAACAAGAAACAAGGGGGAGTATCCTCTGATTCTATATACTGTAAATCCCTTGACTTCCCCTGGAACTTTCCAGTGCTGCTTGGTCAATAACTTGCTTTTCCCCTGTCCTTTTAGCTGGTCTTCTGTGGGAGGGGCCTGCTGTGCTGATTCTCAGGTGTGCGCACCTGGGGAGCTACCCAGCCCCCCGCCGGGTGCACAGCTCAGTGGGAGCTGTTTATCCTGTGAGGCCCCTGCTCAGTCCTAGGTACAAGGTGACACCAGGAGGAGGAACAACAGTGGCGGCAGCCAGCTCTCCAGCCCTGGATTCAGCTCCCGCAGTAACTACCGCAGCTCTCAGTCCACAGGGGCCTGGATGCTCCGGGGGTGGAGGGCACCGATCTGCACAGCTCAGGGCCGCCGGGTGGGAGGAGCGTCCTTGCTGTCCTGTGTCCTCCCGGCCTCTGCCTGGGGGGAGCGCGGAATCTTGGGCTGTGTCCCCCGGCACCCTGGGCTCCGGGCCTGCACCGCTGGAATCGCGCTCCCGGGGCCACGCAGCCCCCTCCGCGCGGAGCCGCTGCCCGAGCCACCGCCAGAGCTGCTCCCCAGCCCCACCGGGCGGGCACTGCAGCCCTTTAGGGAGCTCGGCCCGCGGTGTGGCGCGCTCTCCTCCCGGGCGCACCCCCTCTGTTAGTGCCCCTCGGAGCCTGAGGGCATCCCTGCCCCTCGTGGGATCCTGCCCGAGCTTCCTGCGAGCGCCTTTCCTTCCTGGAAGATTGATAAAGCTTCTGATTCTCCAGGCCTGGGGTCTCCTGTCCTGGGGGCACTCGCCAAGTGGCCTTAGCCCAGCTCCTCACGGGAGCCCCTCCCCCTTGGATGCTTGCTTGCTTATTTTTATTTATTTATTTATTTATTTATTTATTTATTTATTTATTTATTTTCCCATCTTCCTACCTTGATAGAAGCGGCAAACTCTTCTCACTGTAGCATTCCAGCTGTTCTCTCTTTAAATCTCAGACCGAATTCGTAGGTTTTCAGGATGATTTGAAAGTATCTAGTTAAGTTGGTGGGGACAGGTGACTTGGGGACCCCACTCCTCTGCCATCTTGCCCAGCCTCCGAAGCCAAATGAATTTTAAAGTAAGCCTTTTGTGCTTACTCTAATACTCATTTGGAATTTCACTGGAATTGCTTGTTGTCTGGTATTTTGTCTTTATAGAAGTAGGATATGTCTCTCCATTTACTTGAATCTCCTTAAAACGCTTCAATAGAGACTTAGAATATTCTGTACAAAGAACCTGCACACATTTCTTATATTTATTTGTAGATGCTTTACATTATTTTATGCTACTAAAATTGTTTTTGTTGATGAGTAGAAATGCAATTGTCTCTTTATATTGACAGTACCTCTAGAAATCTTGCTAAACTCTTATTAATTCTGACAATTTTTCTGTACATTTTGAATTTTCCATGTAGAAAATTATATAACTATCCATAAATAATCCATAAATAATGACTGCTTTGTTTATTCCTTTCTTAATTTGTACTATCTTTCTTTCTTATTTCATTGTATTACCCATCAACTTTAGTTCACTGTTGAATAGAAGTGGTGACAGGAACATTCTTATCATAGACCTATGTCCTTCCCTTCTTTTTGGTGCTTGCTTCAGAATCAGAATCTTGAATGGACACATGGATGAGGAAAAATGGATGCCATACGTTAGCACCCACAGGATGACAGGGCTCTTTCTCTATAAACTTCTGAGGAACTACTCCAAATTGGAAGAACATTCAGATGCTGAACAAAGCAAAGTACGTGTCTGGGTGCTTGTCTTTATCACAGTGTTTCCACCGATCAAGTTAATAAGCATGCAGAATAATGTGCCTGTAGGAGAATGTATTCTCTACTTCAAATTGAAACTCTGAGAGCACGTCTTTCTTTGCCACACACATAACATCAGGATTGGGGATTCTCCCTCTTCTAAGTCATTAATGGAAGCTGCTGTGGCCTATTGCACAGTCTACTTGAGAAGCTGCCACTTAGAATGGGTGAGAGTGAAGTATGGAGCATCCTAAAGAACTGGAATTTCCTGGGAGTAGAAAACCTCAGAGGAGATTTTACAAAGTCACATCTTCGGTAATTCCCTTTTTCTTTTCCCAAGGATATATCTACTTCTGTCACCACCACATCGCCTATAGTAGCACCCATATTTTCTTCTGCTAGGTTACTGGTGAATACAGCAAAATCTCCTTTGCTTTCATATCTGTGAAGAAGTTTGTGTCCCTTCATGGTTTTCTAGAAGATTACTGCTGGCAACAATGAGAAAGAGACTTAATAAAGAGGATTCCGCTACCAAATTCATACATAGACACACAGAGTCATGATTTAAAATGTGTAGTGAATCATAAACAAAATGATAAAACAAATTACCAATGTAAAAAGCACATTTACATTCTATATGACAAAATTGCCATCCCTAATATAAAATAAGCTCTTACAAATTAATAAAAAGAGGGAATATCCTAATTTTTAAATGGGCAAAAGACATGAACAGGGCAGAGATAAAACAATAAAAATAAGATATTCAACTTTGTCTTTTAGGTTTAGTTATAAACTAAAACAAAAATTAGATACAACTTTTTCACCACTTAAGTTGGCAAAGAGGGAAAAGATTTTCAATATGTTGTGATGCTGAAGAGTGGAAATACAGGTTCTCCTGTGCCTTGGTGGAAGCAAACATCCGTGTTCCTTGAGTCTAGTCTGCCAATACGTTGTCAAACACTTTAATTGTGTGTGACTTTTGACTCAGTATTTCTGCTTCTAGAGGTTTACTCCAGGAAGATATTCTAATAGGGAAGTAATAGAATAGCCACAAAAATGTTCATTGAAGACTTCATTATAAC